GTGTTGACGATACAGCTGTGTGTTCTGAGCCGTCCGTCAGCTTCTTCAAATGCTTGGCAAGCCATTTAGCCAGTCCGTATGTAGGCGTGCCTTTCAGCGCCACAATGGGCCGTAGGGGGATATTTGACTTGTGGATTTTCGGATGCCACATTCGTCTGCGGAAATACAGCAAGGAAATCGAAAGGGCGAAAACAGCATGTGCATCATATCTGGAGACGGAAACACTGCGAAACCTGGAGAGCTGGATCTTGATTAAAGTGAACGAGGAGCGAAATAAGAAAAAGACCCAACTCCTAAACAAAATGTGTACTCTAAGACAAGCACAATCAACGGCACCCGGACCGTCATCCGTCCACAACCTGTCATCCAAACAGCTGACAGAGGACCAAGTTAAAGTTCTTCAACGTGAATCCAGTTACAACACAGGAGACGCACAGCCAGTGGACTTCATCGCTGCACTAGAAGCGACACTCTCAAAAACTGATACCACGGAGGACTCAAAGAACGCGATTCGCCAACGAGTCGCGTCCCTCATCATGTCCCACAGACCTCGCCGAACCATCCCGCCGGCAGAGGTAAAGGCCATCAAGGAACTAAAGAGGGACGAAGAAATTGTCATTGTTCCATCAGACAAAGGGCGGGCAACCGTAGTGCTAGACAAGTCGGAGTACGTTACCAAAGCGCAGCAGCTATTAATGACGAACAATCGTATAAAGTCATCGACTCCGACCCCATGAAAGCACTGGTAGGCCAAATCAACAAGAGCCTGAACCAGATGAGGAAAGAAAAGGCAATATCAGAAAAGGATTGGAGACAAATGAAACCCCAAGATGCTGCCCTAGCGCGCTTTTATGGTTTGCCGAAAATCCACAAGTCAAATATCCCCCTACGGCCCATTGTGGCGCTGAAAGGCACGCCTACATACGGACTGGCTAAATGGCTTGCCAAGCATTTGAAGAAGCTGACGGACGGCTCAGAACACACAGCTGTATCGTCAACACACTTCCTGGAAAGACTAAAAGACCTCACAATAGCCCCCGACGAAATAATGGTATCTTTTGACGTCGTCTCTCTATTCACCTCCATCCCTAAAGAATTGGCCATGAGAGCTGTCGATGACCTACTGAAGAAAAGGTACGACGAAGAAGGAAAACCTTTTAAGAGGAGGCACGCGATGGAACTACTGGACTACTGTTTACACACATACTTCACGTTTAACGGCCAAATTTACGAGCAAATCCAAGGAGCCCCAATGGGGTCCCCAATCTCCGGCTACCTGGCTGAGGCGGTCTTGCAGGAACTGGAAACTCTGGTCTTCGAGACATACAAGCCGAAATTCTGGATGCGCTACGTAGACGACACTTTTGTCATCTTACACCGAGACGCCAAAGACAACTTTAAAAGAGAATTGGACTCAGTTTTTCCACAAATCCAATTTACCATGGAGGAAGAAGATAACGGAGTGCTCCCTTTCCTCGACGTCCAGGTATCGAGGCAGGAAGACGGAACCCTCCAGACTGGTGTCTTTCGAAAGGCGACAGACACGGAGAAAATTCTTCATTACAACAGCAATCACCCCCTGTCGCATAAGCGCAGTTGTGTCCGGACCCTTTTTCGCCGCATCCACACACACTGCAGCACAGAAGCCGAGAAGCTGCGGGAGCGTAATACCCTATGGCGCCTCTTCCTTGCCAATGGATATCCACGCAGTTTTGTGAACAAATGCTTGTACCGAAGGCACACGAAGACGGACGGTGAGAAGAAACAAAGACCAGAAATCTTCCGTGTCTTGCCCTACGTGAGTAACGTCTCCGAAGCCACTGAGCGCATACTAAGACCGCTAGGCGTGGGCGTTGGTCACCGACCGGAGGCCATCATCCGCCGCTTAATCATGCAGCCCAAGGACCGGCTACCACCTGCAGACACGTCAGGCGTTATTTACCGCGTCAAATGTCTGGACTGTCCAGCCAACTACTGTGGCATGACCGACAAACGCCTACGAACGCGCATGCATGAGCACACTTTAGCCGTAAGGCGAAAGGACGTACTATCGCATGTCGCCATGCACTGCCTGGAAAACAATCACAAGTTCGACTTTGACGGCGCCCAGGTGCTCGGCCGAGCCGAAAGCAAACTGGCGAGGGAAGTGATTAAGGCCTGGAAATCAGACACGAACTCTATCAACCGAAGTATCGATTTGCCAGCGCCATACGAGGCCGTGAGGCACCATCTACGCGCGAGAGGGGGGGCAACGAGAAGCGAACGGGACGAACCTATCGGATGAGAGTGCAGATGGCCTATTTAAACCCTGTATTTCTCGCTCAGCCTATCTCCGAAGATGTGCTCGAGTATGAACACGAAACGTCAGATGAATAAACCTTCTTCCCCAGGGATCGCCTCATCCTCCTCTTCCATATATACATATATATATATATATATATATATATATCAGGAATGGTCGCACAGCGATCTATTGGATTCACAAAGGAAACAAGCTCCTTATGTGTGGCAAAGGTCACGAACAGGTCACGCCCATTCCTGATTGACAAATACCGACCTGCCGCGACAGAGAATGACAGGTGGCGAGGCACTGATGAACTTCGGTTCCATGAAGTGCTTATGACCCATCTCGTATTCCTCAGTGGTGGACAAACTGCGCCAGTTGCGTCTGTGCGCATGTTTGTGTTTCTGGTCTCAGCTGCTGGTGGTCAGGGTTGTGATTGGCTGAATGAAGGCAGAATAAGCCCGAAACAGTGCTGTATCAATCTACCCGCATTCTTTGTCCTCCCTTCTCACTACTATATATATATATATAGAAGAAGACGGGAAGGCGATCGCTGGGACCAATGGTTTATTTATCGGACGTTTCGAACTCTCACTCGAGCCCATCGTCAAGGAATGAAAAAACTGTACAGCTCGTCGTCTGTTTAGCTCACCTCTGCCGGGGGTGACCTCTAGCTGCGCTGTTGATTTGTTCACGCAGTGCTTGATAGGCGATTGACAGATCGATATGTCGATTAATCGCGTCCTCAGTTGAGTGCCACGCTTCTTGCAGCAGGCGAGCCACTTGGTTGTCTGACTGCCCCAGTATTCTCACGCTCCCGAAGTCGAAGGCGTGCCCTGGCGAGGAGGCGTGGGCGGCTACCAAGGAGAGTTTATCCTTCCGTCTCACGGCCAATTCATGCTCGTGCAATCTCGTGCCGACCTGTTTTCCGGTTTCACCAATATAATTGGCCTGACCACAATTGCAGTCTATTCGGTAAATGACCCCTGATTTCTGATTTATGGGATTCGGATCCGTAGGCTGCATGAGTTGCCGGCGCATTGCTGCTTCAGGTCTGTGCGCGACGCCGATCCCAAATTCGCTCACCAGTCTGGCGAATTCTTCTGACAAACCAGCTACGTACGGCACTGCGCGCCAGCATTTCGGTTTCGGCTGCCCCTTCGGTTTTCTTCCCCGGGTTTCTCGCCTGCACTTTTCGACGAAATTCCCAGGGTAGCCGTTCATGGTGAAGAGTTTCCTCAGGAACTGAGCCTCGGCCTTCTTGTCGGCTGGCTCCGTGCAATGGGTTTCTACACGCTGGTAGAGTGTTCTTACGCAGCTGCGTTTGTGCGAAAGGGGGTGGTTGCTGTGAAAACTCTAAATACGAGAGGTATACGTCGCCTTCCGGCAAACTGTTGTTTTAAGTCTCCCATCGCCTTTTCTCTGGACTAGTACGTCGAGAAACGGCAACTTGCAATCTTTTTCTTCCTCCATCGTGAACTGGATATCTGGAAAGATGGAATTCAGATGTTGCGTGAATTCCCCAATCCTGTACCGATTGATGATGACAAATGTGTCATCAATATACCGTACCCACAATCGTGGTCGGTAGTGGTCAAAAGCCAGTGCCTCCAGTCGCTGTAACACTGCCTCAGCAATCAAGCTGGATAACGGCGACCCCATCGGTGTACCTTTAACTTGTTCGTACGTGGCTCCATTGAAGGTGAAGAAGGTCTTCAAGCAGTGTTTCAGGAGATCGACAAGGTGTTTTATCTTAAGTTTGTTTTCCGTCTCGTTATAATGTTGCTCTAACAAGGTTTGCACAGTTTCAGCCGCGAGGTGTTGTGGGATGGAAGTGAAGAGTGATATCACATCGAAAGATACCATCACTTCGTCATCTGTAAGTCGAATACCTTGCAGTTTCTCGAGGAATCGTTCTGCTGAGTGGATGGTTGTTTCAGAACCATGAGTTAGGAATTTCAGACGCTGGAACAGCCACTTAGCCAGGCCAAACGTTGGGGTGCCTCTTAGAGAAACGATCGGTCGTAGAGGGGTTCCTGGTTTGTGGACATTGGGTAGACCATAGAATCTCGCGATCGCGGAATCCTTTGGTTTCATCCTCTGCCAGTCAAGCTGTGTTATCGCTTTTGACTTCCGAAGACTTGCCAGGTCCTTGTTGATTTTGCTCGTTAGAGTCTTCGTCATATCACCTTCACAAGGAATGTAGGCAGTTCTATCGCCCAAAAGGTCCTCGACTTTGTTGACGTAGTCCTCCTTGTTCAATACGACCGTCGATCGTCCTTTATCGGCCGGGAGTATGACAATGCTTTTGTCGGCCTTCAAAGTCCTAAGTGCTTTATTTTCTGCTTTTGAGAGCATATTGCGTTTCTTGTGGGACATGAGTCTGGAGGACATTCGCAGTCGCAGCAGATTTCTGTTTTCCTCAGTAATTGGGGCTTCACGAATGACAGCTTCCGCAGCCGCGATGAAGTCAACAGGTTGGGCATCCGTCGTATTGAAGCAGGCATCATGGCTCAGGACTTTAATCTGCTCTGGTGTCAGTTGTTTGGAAGATAGGTTGTGCACAACATTATCATAGCAGAGGCTGGCATTCTTTTCGCTCAATGTGGCCAACTTCTGCTTCAATTTGGATTCACGTGCATCGCGAATGCGCCTGGAACTAAGAAAAATGCTACGATAAAGATCATCTGTCAGCGGTTCTCCAAAAATCCTTGAGCACTTCGCTTGTTCATCCTCAATTGCTGCTTTATACATGCGTAATCGGAGGTGACAATCCTGGATTAAAACCCGAATCATTGTGCGTCCGCGTTGTAGGACTGTGCGCATACCTAGCTCGGTGTTGACTGGCGATTTATACGAGAGGCATCTCGGCAGAGTGGTTGAGTATATATATATATATATATATAT